ATCTTAGTCTAATAATTTTCCCCCCTGTTGAATCAGTTACTTTTATTACTCCCAAAAAGGACCATTTGCAAAGTACAAATGGCGAACCAATACAACGAAGGAAAGCTCAAGGTGAGTAGCCCTATAAAAAATCACCAACAAAAAACACCAAATTTCTATCCAACATATCTCCCAAGACACTAGCTCTACTCCTGTACCAATCCTACTGCTCGCAGCCCCTCCTCGAGCTTATCATTATTTTTGCTCACAAATTGTAACTCAAGAATGATTTCTCTAGAAAGTTCCTCCACAGACTTTACTATTGTACCATTTACTCGACGACACCATTCTTTCTAGATCCCAACATAACATGAGCACCAGAGAAGACTGGCCACTCTTCCTGCAATCGGCCGCCTGCAACTAGCTACACCTGCTGCAATTGTAGCCGTCCAAGAGTCACAATATAAAGCACTCATGTGTAATGTTGCTAACACTTGACTAGCATAGACACATTTGAAAAACAAATGTTCTCGAGATTCCACTTCAGCATTACAGAGCACACACAAAACATTAATCACTTTACCCCATTTCATCAACTTGTCCTTAGTCACAATGCTATCTACCATAATCATCTAGGCCAAGAAACTGTTTGTAGGAATCTGATACTTACTCCATATAAGGTTCATCCAATTCACCACCTCATACTTAATACGCAAGGTTTCCCATATAGCAGAAACCTTAAACACAGGCATATGACATCTTCCCCAAAAAACTTGGTTATTTCTCACCAAAGAGATGAGACTGAATCACCGAATGTAGCTTAAGGATACGTCGCCAGATCCAGGAACTGCTTGGACTAACTTTAACAATCCAAATGTTACTGGTTTGGATCTTATATTGTTGAAATCAAGCCACCCAAATAGCTCCACTTTTCATCTAGAATAGCCATATTAACCTGATAGTGTAGGCTTTGGTCCAGGCAGCAAGTTCACGTAATCCTAGGCCCCCTCCTTGCATGGTCTAGCCATACGCTCCCAACAAACCTTTGCTCATCCTTCTTCACCCCCATGCCAGAGGAATTGAGAGCAGACTAGCTGAACTTGCTTGAGTACACGTTTAGGGAGAATGAAAACATGCATCCAATATTGAAGAATTCCCATCAATGATACAATCCTGAATTCCTCCTCAAGTCATTCCGGATTGATCGTTAAAGATTCAAAGCTAAAACGTAAAATCTGCTTAAGTGTTTTTGACCGTTTCAGGTACCAACTTTGTACAAGCTTAGCTCGCTGTTGGATTAATGGAAATTGGATTTATCGAGCTTGTTTTGTACGAGGAGAGTTACTCGTTCAGCTGCTGTACTTTGGAGTTCGAGGGGAAGTCCAAAAATTGATGTTTCAGGTCAATCAAGATGCTACCTCAACACTGGGAAAATTGCCAGATTTGGTAAGTATGGGACTGTGTTCGAGCAGGGTACTTTGAGTTTTGATTCGAAGGGCTTGAAGGGTGGTCGAAGCAGGAGGAAGGCATCACATGAGAGTTCACATTTCCTTCTACAACGTCGTGGCATTGGATGATCTGGTTGACGCGCAGAAGGGCTCGAACGAGGAGGCAGAAGTTCGTGTCGACAATGAAGCTGCTGCCTGGAGAAACAAGTAATCCGAATCCTATTCGGATTAAGGATTCGTTCACAGCTTGGGATTTCTTTCCTTTTCGTATTAGATTCGGTTTCCTTTGAGCTCAGATTTGTTTAGGACATTATTTACTTGTATTGTAAGTTAGTTTACCTATTTAAACTCATGCTTAGGATGTATTCGGAGTTTTGGAGTTTCAATGGAATTGCAACAATAGCCGGTTTCCGAGCTTGAGTTGAGAGCATCCTAGAGCGACGTCTAGGTTGTTTGGTTCGCTTGTATCGATCAGCCGCCATCCTGATCGTGGCCAATCTTCGACGATAATCTTCGAGCCTCCTTCCCGCGTGAGGGTTGCACGAGATTTCCACCCAATTCACACCAAAGTTCTCTTATTCGAGTCTTCTTATCGAAACCAGTTCTTAATCCGCGAACTCTGATCACGAGAGCTAATTCTGGCCTCATCAAGTGGCATCAGAGCCTTGGTTCAACTCAGTGGACAGAACGGCGGACGACGTTGCTGCAACAATGCGTTGGACGAGGTCGAAGGGCCCTGTGTCCGACGACCCTGCTGCAAGGCACCTGGAAACAGAGCACGCGTCACAGGTTGAAAGCAGGGATCAATCGATCCAACAGGCCATGGCTGGACATCAGTTCGACATGGAGGATTTTTTGGCTCAGATTGACGCCAGATTCCAGGCTCAATTGGGCCAATTGAAGCGCGAAATCGATCAACGATTTGACGCAATCGCGCCACCGGAAAACAGAGTGCAAGAAAGGGAAGTCCACGGCGACGAAGTTCTCAATGGAAATCCGGCGTTGGTTGATCGGATTGCGGAACTGGAGTGCCGCCTGGTAGTGGTTAAACCCAATCGAGATCGCCACGCTCGGGAACGGCGAGGCAACTGATGACTCGGTATTTGCACATGTTTTCCCCTTTGTTTCTTGATTGTTTGAGCTTGAATTATCGCGTCTTTGGCCTATTTTACGCTAGGTTGTGTTCCTTTGTCACATTTCAGGTCCTAGCATATAAAGTGAAGCATAGGCGCAAGTTTCAAGTCAATCAGAGATCAATTGACGATTCGGGAGAAGAAACTCGGGCATGACCTGAAGAAAGATGGATTTCTACCTCACTTCATGGACAAAGAATCATGCAAGCTTGTCATGAAAAGGAAGAGGACGAGACTACGAGCGTCTGGGATCAAACAACGACTGATTCGGAGTCCGGACGAGGGAGAAATGAAGCGTTAAACAGAGGCTGGGTAAGCCACACGGGCATCCTGGAACCCCACACGGCCGTGCAGGTCGTGGCCGTGTGGAAATCACCGAGCCTTCACACGGGCAGCTGAGGAAAGCCACACGGCCGTGTGGCCTGGCCTTGTGAGTCGGGAATTGCTGTTTAAAACCCGATTTTCAGCAAAAGTCGGGTAAGTATTTCCTTTTTGAGCCTGACTCTCTGCTGGCTCAAGTCTATAAGGGTAAGTATTTCCCTAATGAGCATTTCCTTCATGCTAAGGCACGTTCCCGCCCGTCGTGGGGGTGGCAGAGCATCCTGTTTGGTCGGAAGTTGCTTGAGATGGGGTTAAGATGGCAAATTGGAAATGGGCGGTCCGCTTCACTGTTGCATTCCCCCTGGATCCCTCAACTCCACTTGGATCCACCTCGGTACAATCCGATGGTCCTGCCGTCAGGGGGTGACCCACCAGTGGCCGAGCTAATTTGTAGGGAGGAAGGGCGGTGGTGTGATCCCAAGCTTAGTCAGTGGTTTGACCCACCCACGTGCCGCATTATTAAAACTATTCCCCTCCCGCGTCAAAATATGGAGGATAGGCTTGTTTGGCATGAGATTGCAGACGGGGTGTTTTCGGTTAAGTCGACTTATCACTTGGCGGTCTCCCTTGATCGGAGGTGGGGGCGTTGGAAGGCTACGGTTAGCTGGATGGATAGGGCGAGCTGGATTCGATTATGGGGGGGGGGGGGGGTAATATTTCCCCCAAGCCGAAGGTGTTCGTTTGGCAGATCCTCAATCGTATCTTGCCGACAACTGAGGCTCTCATTAGTAGGAAAGTCCAGGTGCATCCACGATGCCCGGTGTGTTGGGAGAGTCCGGAAACATTGGAGCATCTGTTTCTGGATTGCCCGGTGGCGCGAGCATTATGGGTGCAGTCGGGGCTGGAGTATCCGGGGGAGGGGCTTCCTCGTCACACCTTTCCCCTTTTCCTTAAGAAGCCGATGGCCTTACTTTAGCAGCCCACGCTCTTCATGGCAATGGTTGCTGTTCTTTGGCGGATCTGGCGTTCTAGGAACTGGGTGGTCTTTGAGGGTAAGCAATTTGGGATCCCTGCGTTGATGCGCCAGTTCTCCCAGCAATATGAGGAATGGGTGTGACTGCCGGTGGATAAAGTCATCCTAGCTGCTCATCCCCCGATACATCAACCACTGGATCCGATGGTGCAGACTGGTGTTGTTTGTATGTGGGATGGGGCTACGAGGTGTGAGTCTCATTCGGCGGGCGGTTTGGTTCTGATGTCCCCTACTCGGGAAGTCCTTTGGGTAAAAGGGGTCAAATTTCCGGTTATTGATGACCCCATGGTGGTGGAGTTGCTAGTCCTCCGTGAAGGTATGCTGTGGTGCTTGGAGCATGGATTCACCGAGGTTAGATTTGAAGGGGATGCTAAGGTGATCATCGACAAGGTCAGACACGCTGATGTGAGGGATAGCCGATTAGGTGCGATTTTGCAGGAAGTGGTGCTGAGATTCTCCAGACTCCAGCTACCCCGGATTTAGTGTGCGATTTGTAGGTCGGAGTAGTAATAGGGTAGCCCACTTGGTGGCTAGAAAGACCCTCTCTTTGTATCCGATTTTGAGTCGTTTCTTTGATTTTCAGGCCTGGTTGAATTCCAGGATGTAACTGCCTATTTTTTGAATCAATGCATGATTATCTTTTGTAAAAAAAAAAAAAAATACGATGCTAAGGGGTTGTTTGGTAGTTGTGATTCTTCAAATTGATGTATTGGGTCAATTAGTGTATTATCATTTGATGTATTGAATCAATTGATGTATTAGACAAATACTTTGTTTGGAGGTTTAGATTGTGTTTTTGTTGTAAAGGCATAAAAGTTAATTTGAGTGATTGTGAACAATCTCAACAAAAAGTAGAGATTCACAATCCCTCAATTTTGAGTGATTGTGGTGGGGCCTCCAAAAAGTAAATGCATGTATTCTAGTTCAATATAACCTAAAAAAACGACTTAATCTCACAAATACATGAATTAGCTCAATACACCATTTGAAATCACAACTTCCAAACGACCCCTAAGAGTTAGCAACTAAACTCATTCCTCGTTGACTGATAAAAAATTATACATGTGAGTAAAACTGACCGGATCTGCCCCTTGTGTAGCGGGCTACTATAGTCGTCTCTGAACTCTGAAGTCTGACCAACAAATAACTTGCCTTAAAAGTGATTTACTTCGCAACTATGGGTGCTCGCTGCTTTAGTCCCTGTCCCTTCATCTTTGATTCAAGTCAATCGTTGATCCAACTCCGTTCATCTTTCCGCCTATCTTCCCCCTCTCCATATCTCTCGCTCTCCTCCTCCGCAGCCTTGTACCACCGCGGAAGTAGCTCGCCCGGTCGACTGTCCCTTCCAACCGGCCCGGCTACCCTAAATCTCCGCGACCCAAGTCGCCGGCCAATCGGAACTCACGGCCCCGTTCGAAAGCTGCTGCAAACTAGTACCAGAGCATTCCATTTCGATGCTTTTCAGGTGCCCCCATTTCTTTCCTCTTCTAGATGTATTGTAAGATGTGGTTTACTTGTGTCAAATACAACAGCACTTCAGAAAGTGGAGACGAAATAATGATCGTTGCTTTGCGGTCAATGGTTGTGAAGACTTGTGGAAGTAATTATGCTGTCGATTTTCTATTGTTCATGAAGAATTACTGTGATCTTGTTGATTGGGTTGCTGACATCGGCGGCGTATCAGGCCTTCCGCCCTCCGCCTCCCAAGATTTGCGGAACTCCAGGCGGCCCTCCGGTGACGGCGCCACGGATAAAGCTAAGGGATGGACGGCATTTGGCCTACAAGGAACATGGGCTTCCCAAAGACGTTGCCAAGCATAAGATTGTATTTGTTCATGGCTTTACTTCCTGTAGGCTTGATCCAATGATTGTCACCAACCTTACTCCGGTAATTTGTTGCTTCTTACCCACAACGATCTGCGTTGAGATTGAATTGATTTGAGGCTTATTAGGATTGTTTCACCCGCAATGCCCTGTTATCAGGAAGTGATTGAAGAGTTAGGGGTTTATGTTGTGACATTTGACCGGCCCGGTTATGGAGAAAGTGACCCGGATCCGAATCGAACACCGAAGAGTCTGGCTCTTGACATAGAGGAGCTTGCTGATGGTTTAGGGCTGGGTTCCAGATTCTATGTGATGGGTAAATCTATGGGAGGCCAGGTTGTTTGGGGATGCCTTAAGTACATTCCTCAGAGGTAAGAACAAACTATAGTTGCCAATTGAATACTTTATGGACGTTTTATTAACTTGTTTTGAAGAATTTTTTTTAGTGGAAGAAATCATAGCCTGCCATGTTATCTACTTTGTATGTCTTCTGATAGTCTCCGTCCTGAAGCTGTCATTATTTTGGAATTCTTGTAGGTTAGCTGGAGCGGCTTTGATAGCTCCAGTTATCAATTACTGGTGGCCTGGTTTCCCTGCTGACCTATGCAAAGAAGCCTACAACTTACAGCTACCACAAGATCAATGGGCATTACGTGTTGCTCACCATGCTCCTTGGCTGACCTACTGGTGGAACACTCAGAAACTGTTTCCTTCATCAGGCGTCATCTCCAGAAAGCGTGAAACTATGTCTCGTCAGGATATAGAACTTGTATCGACGTATGGCGGTGGGCATGATCTGAAGGTACGCAGTATTTGTAGTCACCTCCACGTTTGTGCGAAGCAACCACATTAAACTTGTGTATCCACTTCTTTTGTCCTTCATTTTCAGTTGATGATGTCTGTTTTCTTTACCTCATTGAGTTTACTCAACTACATGAAATGGAAGTTATAAGCAGACATAAATTTGAATTCTTGTCTGTTGGTACATTAGACTGTCCATTATTTCCAAGCTGAAGTGGGCAAGTGACTTCTTTGCTTCATCGAACACCCTCACGTTTTCTTACCTATGAGCAGATGGGAAATGTGAGATGGCGTGAATTTCTTCTGTGATTTAGATTTGTGATTATGGATGGCTTCTCCTTTTGCATTTGTGCAGAAAGAGGCAACACAACAAGGAGAATTCGAATCCCTGCATCGAGACATGATGATTGGTTTTGGGAAATGGGAGTTTGATCCCATGGATCTCGAGAATCCTTTCCCCAACAATGAAGGTTCGGTCCACTTATGGCAAGGAGATGATGATAAGAAGGTTCCCGTGATTCTACAGCGGTATATTGCTCAGAAGCTTCCATGGATCCACTACCATGAGTTACCAGGAGGAGGCCATGTTCTGCATTTTGTTCCAGGGTTGATCGAAGGAGTTCTTAGGGCTCTGCTTCGTGGCGGGAAGTAGTAAGCTTTACTCCATTTCTTCTCAGGGCGTCGAAGAATTATCCTTCACCTCTCTGTAAAGGCTTGATTCACTATGCCGATTTGCAAGACCCACTTCGGATGAGAGTATCAACATCTGTTTTGCTGAGAAGGATCACTGAGTTGGTATTGTCTCGTTTCATGCGGATTAAGGTCGATGTACAAGCAGAACCGGCAGAGACCACTTGTTGGCATGATCTCTAGTTCTTGTGTTTGATAGTTTGATGCAAGATTGTTCAAAAACGGTGAAATTCAAAATAGCTAAATTATGACGAAAGATGGGAATCTAATTGTTGTTGTGTAGTGTCAAAATAGTCGAGCGGAATTTATTATGTAGTTATTATACGCTGACATTGCTGATTCATTAATTAGTAAATTACATTAAAAAAAAAAAAAAATGTAAGCTATAAACGCACAATGAGAAACCAGTGAACCAGCCAACTAGGTAACCAGAGAAACAGGTTGCCGGGAAATGTTGAATCGGCGAGAAGGCATCGACTCGAGCAAGCACTGGAAAACTATAAAACTAAGTCCGTGTTCGAGGATGGCCGATCATCGGACCTGATAGTTTCCTATTTCGTCTGCAGAGGGAACTTGGAAGTTCACGTTCGATAACAGGAAGCCACTATATAATTTGGTACATGTTTGCGCCGGCGGCGGTTTTCAAAAGCGAGCTTTCGTAGGCAAGTTGTCCGGAGCTAGGTTCCCATACGACAATGGGATGCAGAAAGCGACATGGGGAGGGTGGTATCCAGATGATTACTCGGATTATAGTAACAATCGGATGGATTTGCGATGACGGAATGAGGATGCGCGCTACCTGTTTGTTAAAATGTCCGAAAGGAGTTCAATTAGCAAACAAACAGCAGAGCCACAAGGAGAAAGAAGAGCATTCTATGCTCTCCATAGAGCTGAAACAAAGACAATGTATGCCTTGACAGCAGAGTGACACCATCCAGATCCCATAGATGGCTGTTCAAGAACCTGGAACAGCACAGAGTTGAATGATTATCACTGCAGGTTGATTACCATCAAGATCCAGATTGGATATGAAAAGGTTCGCACTTTCCTCTGCTTCCAGTCCTTCCATTCAGTATTGCTATCAAATGTCTTCATTTCAGGTGAGAACCATTCTTAGACTTTCCCCGAGAGCTATACATGGATTCTTCCTTTATTATTGTTGGACACTGTTAATTACACGAACTCGTTACTAATGCACCTAAGACCGCCTAAATCCCTAAATCAACAATGCCTGTACCTCATCTATTAAAATGAAAGATTGGGAACTATACTTAAAGAAAAGTTTAGAAACCATACGATCCATGGAGGCTAGTTTCTTGCTGCTGAGTCAAGTAATTAATTTATGTGTTACTGCACTCATAATGGCACTGGCGCCACCCAAAAGCAAAGGCTTGCCTTCCTCACCTGTCAATGTCTGCACAGTAGTACTTAATGCTGAATATCTTATTCTTAAATCAAGATGGGTTGACTGTCGTTGCATTCATTCACATGGGCGTTGTGTATGGTTCTTGGATGATTCATCAGATAGATCCACCTATGTATATAGGACTTGCCCTTTAATTTCTTAGACTTGCTTACCACAGCAAATCTAAGATCCCTTTTCTTGCACCTTTCCCTTAAACTCTCTTCCAACTAGGCTCTCATTTTCGGTTTTGCTCATCTCCTCACTTCCCCTAAACAAGAATGGCTGCTGCTCTCGCAGAGTTGGTCATGAAGAAGTTGGCTTCTCTGGCAGCTGACCAGGTAGCCCTCCTCGGGGGTCTTAAAAGTGAGATTTCGAGACTCCAGAGCACAATGTCTACCATTCAGGCTGTTCTGTTGGATGCAGAGGAACAGTCCGGTCAGAGTCATCAGATCCAGGATTGGATTAGTCAACTGAATGAAGTCTTTTATGACGCCGAGGACTTGTTGGACGATCTCTCCACTGAAGCTCAATGGAGGAACCAAATGGATGACAATCACATTGTGAATGAGGTAGGCCTATTCTTCTCAGGTTCCAACCCAGTTGTATATGGTTTGAAATTGGCTCACCAGATCAAGGGCATTCGGAGCAAGTTAGATGATATTGCTGAGAGTAGACATTTTCATTTAAATGAACGTCCTGTGGAGTCTACTGCTAATAACTTGATTTGGAGGGAAACTGATTCCTTCATTCCTGATGTGGTTGTTGGGAGAGAACAGGATAAGAATACCATTATAGACATGGTGTTGCTGTCCAGTTATGCAGAGAATGTTGTTGTTGTGCCGATTACTGGATTTGGGGGTCTAGGGAAGACAACACTGGCTCAATTTATTTATAACGATGAGAGGATAACATTTGGGTTTGATCTCAAAATTTGGGTATGCGTTTCCATAAATTTTGATGAGAAACTTCTAGTGAAGAAGATGCTAGAATCTGTGACAAAAGGTGAAGTCCAAGATTCCACCTTGGATGTTTTGAAGTGCAATCTTCACGAAAAATTAAATAACAAGAAGTTCTTGTTGGTCCTGGATGATGTTTGGGATCATGTTGGCTACAGGAACACTTGGGATCGCCTAAAGGGGTTTTTGAGGAGCACGGGATCGGCTGGAAGCAGGGTAATCGTGACCACGCGCATTATGAATGTGGCGGAGTCAATGGCAACCAGTGGGTTAAAGCCATATGAGCTACACGGTTTACCTGCAGAAAAGTCATGGCATTTGTTTGAGCAAATAGCTTTTGCAGGACCGGTAAGACAGAGTCCAACATATATAGAGGTTGGAGAGGAGATTGTGAATAAATGCAGAGGGGTTCCTTTGGTCATAAGGACAATGGCTGGCCTTCTATCATGTAAAACAGATGTGGATGATTGGGTAGCAATAAGAAACAAGCAAGTACTTATCAACATAGATGATCAAGAGAGAAGAATGTTGGCAACTCTTCGGTTGAGTTACGATCACTTGCCTTCCCATTTGAAGCGTTGTTTCGTTTATTGCAGTTTATTTCCAAAAGATTATGAGATTAACGTGAAAACTTTGATACAACTTTGGATTGGACAAGGGTATATAAACTCAAATAAATCATCATGTCTTGAAGATGTCGGTATTGAATATGTCAAGAACTTGTTATGGAGATCATTTTTTCAGGAGTATCGCAGAGATCGATGGGGCAATATAAAATGGTGCAAGATGCATGATTTGATGCATGATTTAGCTGTCACAATTGCGGGGAAAGAGATCATCACCTTGAATGCCTCAAATGTAATGGATAGCCTCAGCTGCGGCGATGTCAACCTCGAACGAGTTCGTCACATATCACTTGATTTTGAGAACGAGATATGGGAAGTTCCAACTATCTTAGGTAAAGCCAAGAAATTGCGAACATTTTTCCTCATAAATGTGCCATTCACAGGTTTTGAGCTGGAAGACAGAGGATGTGAGATGGTTTTCTCAAATATGATTAGGCTGAGAGTTCTTAGTCTCAATAGAGCTGGAATGGAGATTGTCCCGTCTTCCATTCGTAGATTGAAACATCTGAGGTACCTTGACCTTTCTGGGAACAAGATGCAGACCATTCCGGAAGAAATTACAAGACTAATAAACTTGCAAGTGCTTTCTCTGCATTGGTGTAAAAATCTTCGTCAACTTCCAAGAGACACTGAGAAGCTGTGTAATCTTGCCTACCTTGGTCTAGATGATTGTGAGAGTTTGACAAGTATGCCAGTCGGGATTGGGAAACTCACTTGCCTGAGAGAATTATCTTTATTCGTAGTGACAGAAGCAGTTGGACTTGACGAATTGAAGCGATTGAACAAGCTTAGTGGGGAGCTGTATATTAGAAGGCTGGAACGGGTGAAGGATAAATCTGAAGCGCAAGCAGCCAAATTAGAGGAGAAATCAGAACTGCGAAAGTTAACACTAAGTTGGAGTAGCTCAGCAGAACGCGAGGAGAAGAATGCGGCTAGAAGTTCTGATCATGAGAGGTCAATATTGGAAGCGCTGCAGCCGCATACCAATTTAAAGAAGATTAAGTTCTTGCATTATGGTGGGACGTGTCTTCTGACGAGCTGGTTCACTTCTCTCAGGAATTTGGTTGGGATCTCGGTAATTCAGTGTGATAAACTGCGGGTTCTGCCATCCTTGGATACTTTTGTTTCTCTTGAAAAACTGGCATTGTCTGTGTTAGACAGATTAGAGTACATACAGAGTGGGATGAAGGTACCATCATCTTCACCGTCGCTTGCTTCAAATAATAAGAATAGTAATGATTCTCAATTTCTTCCTTCCATCAGGTCTCTTGCGATCTACGATTGCTGTAACCTAATAGGCTGGTCGCCTACGAACACAAAGTCGCCTTTCCTGGCCCGGGTTACTGATTTGGTGATTCGTAGCTGCCCAAAAATGATTTTGGTTCCATGCTTTGCGGTGCAATTTGAGGATGTGAGGTTAATGTATGTGAGCAGTGAGCTGCTGAGTGCATTCAGTGCCTCTCTAATTTCTCCTCCCCAAACGCGCACTCGATTCCGATCTCTAGCTCTCGTAGCCGTGAAAGGTCTACGAGTTGTGCCACAAGATTTGTTGCCGCAACTTGCTTCTCTTGAAAGCCTACGCATATTGTATTGCCATGACTTGATTGCTCTGACTCCAGCTATCCTGCAACATCTCCCTTCCCTCCAGGAGCTTTCGATATATGATTGTGGAGCTTTGGAGTTGGAGGACTGCAACGGGAATGATGAGAATGACATGGCACTCCCTGTCCTTCCAAACCTTCGCATCCTCTATGTCTTTCGGGTTCCTAAGTTGGTGAAGCTGCCGAGGTGGCTTCAGCATTGCTCGAACTTGCAAAAGCTGCAGATATCGAGTTGTCATAACCTCATGTGTTTACCAAGCTGGCTCACAAAGCTCACTGCCCTGGAGTCTTTGGAGGTATATGGCTGCGATATTCTATCAGGAAGATGCAGCAGTGGGAGCACGGCTGAGGATTGGCCGAAAGTATCTCACATCCCAAATATCAATATCGATCATGTACAGATTCAAGAGGATGGCTGCTACAAGGGAGTGGAAAATGGAGGAGGGTGGGAACGGCTACTACTGCAATATATGCTGGAAGAAGAAGCACGACTATTGCAACAAAGGGAAATAGATACATCCTCACGCACCCAATTCTCAAGGTATAAATTTTTTGAGGCTTTCTTAAGCTTCACTAACAAGTAACAACACACCTATCCTGAGAGCGCCATCCATCTCTTCTCATCCTTCCCTCTCTTTCATTTTTCTTCCCTTTTCCTTCTCCGTTTGGTTTTTCTGTTAGTTAATTTAGGTCTTCTCCATGCGAATATTGCAGGATGTTAGCAAATTGCGTGGGGAGACTGAGTTGCAACTTGTTCCAGAGATGTTTTCTATCCTGAGCTACCCTGACAATAGCATTGCCCCTTGTGATTCTACTACTTTAACGATGAAGAAGACTAAGCCTCTGACTCTTAGGTGAGTTTAAAGTTTGTAACTTTTTAATATTTACTTTTCACATACATTAAGTAGAGTATATGGAGGAATAATAACTTTTTATGTATTCGTTAAATAAACATATTAATGAAGTCTTTCACAGTTTGGCCATAATTTTCTAGACAAATTTGCTGAGGTCCTTTTATTTTTGAGGAGGATGGTTCTCCAAAATAATTCAACGATTTGGATTGAAGACACACTTCTCCTAAGACCCTGTTTTTCAACGAGAACACCTGCGTTGAATTGAGATAGATTGCACCTTTGAATTTTATGGACAACGATTTCTAAGACACGACTCAAACTTGTTCAAACAAAGTTTGAACGAGAGTGTTTGATTGATGCTTTTTGGGAATGAAAACTAAATTAAGTTATTGCTACTCATATGGAGGTTTAGCGAGGGCTCCAATCTACGACTATAACTACATAGGCGTAAGTTGTGTGGTTTTGGGAACCCCTCTCTCTCTCTCTCTCTCTCTCTCGACCCTTCCTTCTATATATAGCCATGGGGAGATAACTGTCATAGAAAACCGCCTATTGGATAAATCCAAAAAGAACCGCTCCCTGCTTCCTCGGACATGGCGGTTACTCCCTCAACCGCCCAGGTGCCTTTCTTGGAATTGTCGTGAGAGTGTGTCTTGCCTCGTATGGTCTTATTCTAAATCTCGTGTCACGCTAGTCTTTTGATGAGCATGAGGTGTCTCACAATGGGGTCGTGGTCCTCTTGCCTCATGACCATGGACTTCTTACTCATGTCCATGACCCTCTTGGGACTTAGTCACTAGTGATATAATGCTCTACCACCACACCCTTCTCATTCATGTCAATGTCCCCTCTCGTGAGGCGGCATGGCCTTCTCAGACTTAGAATTATTCAATCGTGTCTAATGCTTCTTGCTTCGCGTCCATGGCCATCACATGACACGACCATGGACCTCTTAATCATGCACATGGACCTTCTCGTGAGGTGACATGACCTTCTCACACTTAGAATATTTTTCAGTCATGGGTAGACCTCTTGTCTCGTGTCTATGGCCCCCTCTTGTGAATCGACATGGACCTTCCAGATTTAGAATATTTTGGGTCATTCAGTCTTGGTCATGAGGCGGCATGACCTCTTCATCCGCGATCATGGACTTCTCAGTCATGGTTGTGGCCCTTCCAGCGACATGACATGACCTTCTCATACTTAGTAATTTTTTAATCTTCTTTGAGATCCGCTTTTCGTGGCATGATCACGTGACTCCCATATTCTTTCCCACATCCATGGTCCCTCTCGTTGGAATGGCATGTACCTCTAGATTGTAAACTGATATGGCCCTCTTCGTAAGGTGGCACGTGCAGTGGCAGAGCCAGAATATTGGTCAAGGGGGTGCCTTTTTCATACAGTACAAAATCAACTCTAAAACGAAATAAAAAAATCACCAAAATAATAATCAAGATTCGTACAATTACATAATAATAATAATAGTAACACATATCCATTATATCGGTTGGCCTTATCCACGGGTTCGAGATTGTTTGATTGGTTTCATATACCAATTGGTCCTTCTCACGAGTTCGAATTTGTTTGATCGATTCCGCAAGTTATCTTTTATTTTCGTGCTATTGAAGAAAGAAGAAAACCACAAAAGAGTTCGACGCTGTGCAATTCTGATTCTTGGTCCAAATTCGAGGTTCTCTTCGATTCTTGATCCACCCTCTACCATATCACAATCCTTGTTCTAAATGTGTCACCAACGCATTGTTCATCTAGTTCTGGATCTTGATATATTTCATGAATAAAAATGGTATGTCCACATTGTTTGTTACAACAGAGACAATTGAATTTTATAAACCTAAGCAAGTCATAGATAATTAACAACTACTAAGAATTGTCTCGTGAAAACCGGGAGGTTTGGCGAACCAATGGCCGGAAATAGTTTAAATAAAAGTTATGCGTGGTAATTGATAAAACGCTAAAACACAAAACATATGTAGTTTAGATGGTCAGATAGGTGGTACTGGCCGTCGTGCTAGCCCCAATGGATTTCCGATCAAGGTCTCACCTTGTGTCAAAATCGGTGGGCGCAAGTCGCGGGGCAAAAAACTCCTAAGGCGGCTGCACACGTTCCTGAAAATAAGCATGCTTCACATCTTCCTGCTGGCGGTCGGCCGAGAGCTGCTCCACAACATTGGGAGCCTGCTGCGCAACCGAATGTGATCATGGAGCAATCCCGTCGTCGCCGCCTCATTCTCGAGGAGGAGTCAGAGGAAGAATGTGTTGAACAGAGACTGGATGACGGTCTTGAGCCTCCCATGCAGCTTCGAGCTGCCAATTCCCCTCCCGCGGGAAGCATGTACAAAGATGATGGATATGCAGGGGGGTAGAATGGGGAGAGTTTTGCAATGCAGCAGGAACCTCCGCGTCGATTGAGCTTGCGACTGAAGAAGCTCGCAGCGCGAGACGCTGCGGGGAGGCCTGGGATGGTTGCGTCATAGAGGAGCAGCTTCCGCCTTTGGGTATTGAGGTGGAAATGCATCCCGCGGACTCTAATGAGTGTACAATAGGAAATCATCAAGCTGCCTGTGAATCTGATGGAAATCACTCCTCGGGAGATGTCCAATCCTTTGAGATCAAAAGACGATCGTGTTTGGGTGATCCCAGAAGGACCGGCAAGCCCACTAAGGGTCGGGTTAACCAAGTGGTTGCAGCCTTTGAGGCTGGGTTGATTTTAACTAAGGGTGATAATGACTCTAGGCCTTGCCCTACTGGGAATCTGGTGAGGGATGTTCGAGCGGGAAGTTCCCGGGAGGATGGCTCTAATCCACCTGCGCAGCTGAATGAATACGGTACCAATTTATTGGACCCAGTGATTGGAAATCGTAAGCGTGGGTTGGATAAAATGGAGGGGGGAGGGGGGAGACCCTTCTGCGCCGAAGAAACAATTTGTAGAATCAGCTGATAAGGTGGAGGAAGCCAGCCTAGAGTGGCCCTCATCAGATAAATGAGGCTTTTGGCCTGGAATGCGAGGGGAATTGGGCCATCACTCACATTCCAAACAGCTGTCGGTTTAGTTCATTCCAAAAAACCAGATCTCGTATTTTTTTCTGAAACTCGATCGAGCTGGAGAGTAGTGTCTCGTCGTATGCGGGGTTTAGGGTTTGATATTTCTCTTTGTTTCTTTGTTGATGCAATTGATGCATCGGGAGGGTTAGTAGTTGTTTGGTCCCCCATGGTTGATACTTTGGTGTTTTTTCATTCCAACTTCTGTATTTGTGCTCAAATTAATGAAGTGGATTTTTCTTATGTCGTGATTTTTGTTTACATTAGCTGTGATATGGCAATTAGAGCTATTCAGTTGGCTCAGCTTCGTGATATTTGTGATAATATTCACCTGCCCTATACTGTCATTGGCGATTTCAATTCTACTCTTCATGAGGGGGAAAAGGATGGTGAATTAGCGTGGAATGCGACTCAATCGATGAGCCTTCGAGGTTTTGTTCAGGATATGGGCCTTCATGATCCAGGTTTTCAGGATGATCAATTCACGTGGACGAACAAAAGTATGGACGATGCTTGCATTCAAGAGTGTCTGGACATGGCTCTTTGCTCATAGTCATGGATTGATCAATTCCTGCAGACCCTGGTTAAACATTTTACGGATCAGGGATAAGATCATCGTGCCCTTCTCCTCTCTTACAAGGCTTATGTTCAGAGTAGTCGCCCCCTTTCCGCTTTGATGCCCGCTGGGCTGGCAATCCGGAGGTCAAGGCCATGGTACGCTATGTCTGGACAGAAGAAATTTAAGGTACCCCCATGTTTTGTCTTTGGGAACGCCTTAAGAAGATCCACCATTTTCTTTATGATTGGAGTAGGGCGGGGACTACGAACTCCCTACGTAACATTAAAACTCTCCAGGCAGAGATTGATCGAATTAAAATGATCCATCCAATTGGCTGGGATGCGATTAAAAGTTTGGAGACAGAGCTTAATCGCCAATGGGAGGCAGAGGAAGTCTACTGGCAACAGAAATCTAGGGTCCGATGGTTACAAAAAGGGGAGCACTCCCCACAAATGACAGCCTCTTAGACTCCTTCTTCCATACTAATTTGCCCCTATGCTCCTATTTTGTCGTCATGCGCCTGGTTTCGTCCATATGGGCCTTGCTCTTGTGCTCGGCCCGAGCTATTCAGGGCTCCCAATGGGACTAGGTCTAATGAGTTTTATGACCTTCCAAAAGGCTTGTCCCTATTGACCCAACAAATATTAATTACTTAAAAACATCTTCAATTACCTAAAGGATACAAACAACAATTATTTCTTAAGTAACCATTAAACCAGCAGGCAGCAGCGTTACATAAGACTTTCTTAATGATTTTACACTTTACGTAATGCAGTGTTAGTATTCATTACGTAATGCAATGCTAGTACTCAGTACATAAAATAACCGTCCATTACATAAGATTTCTACAATGATCTTTTACAACTGTTACATAAAATTACCATACTCTACGTAACTATTAGGTAATGCCTATTGTATTTTCTAGGTAATTCATTTTTGTCAAATTTGTTATAGTAGATAAAGGCATTCAAGTTAGTTTAATGTAGGAAATCCCAATCTATTTGCGTGTAACAATTTTTGCACATAAAAGAAAAGTATTATGCTTACCGGCCCAAAATAGGAAAGAAAAAGAGGGAAAAAGTCTTTCATAAAAAAAAGACTATTCCCATTTCCCCTATTTCTCAAAGCATAAACGATTAAACGACATGTTTCTTCGCTGCTGTTGGTGGGGCCTCGCTTTTATTGTCGGCTTGCTGATCAGCAATTGTTGATCAAGGTCACTGTGCATGATTTATTTTGCGTTTGGTTACCGAACACTTTGCGACTTAATTATCCTAATGACTACAATAAGAATAACTAATAAGTATACCCACATGATTATGAAAATAATTGTAAGAGTTCCTTTGTGTGTTTAGTACAACTGAGATACACGAGCACATTTTTTATATATAAAATGGATGCAAATGCACTCTACCTTTCATTCAAAACCATCCGGGCTTTGGAGAGTCCCTGAACATTATACATTATCTAGTTACAAAGGAAAGGATCGGATAAGGAAAACATATGTAATCC